AGAAAAGCTGCTGATTGGTCTGCTTCCTTCCAGGGCATAAAAAATGTTTCTTGATGTATGTTTATGTTTGTTTGCTATCAGTCTAAAGCCCTTCTGTTTGATGTCTCTTGCTTTTCATGTTTTTGTTTCATTTGGTGTTGAGACCGTGCTTCTACGAACATCAGATAGCTGCTTTTCATGCACTGCATGCTACAATGCTGTGCAAATACTAATCAAACCGTCAAGCCACATTAAATCAAATACAGTCTTTACATCAACCCAGCAGCATCGCAATAATTGAATGTACACATTAAACGGTATGAAAAGCGGTGACAGTTTTGGAGAATGTAACCTATATCCTTCATGTTTTTTAATGTAGACTTTGTGTTCAGATTACAGTTCACACGTATCCCACCATCCAAAATCTATTTCTTTTTCCACTTTTAAGCGCTGGGTGATCAATCCTGGGTACTGCATCTCGGGGAAAGTGACTCACATCCAGAACTAAATTAAAACAATTTAGCACTGCGACCTGCAGTTTTATGGCTGCTGTGTTTCTACGTCATTCAGCAATAGAGATGCCATTCAACCTTTTTTCTTCTGAAATGGGGGAGATGCACATTCTCCGGGGGTGTTATGGAGTCTTAGGGCTCATACTGTAAATTAATCCTGATTCAGCTTTATTATTTCTCCTCAGTTATTCTGATGTTCCTGTTAACAACCTTCATCCATTATTCTTTTTAGCCATGCAGTTTGGTCTGAATTGTCATCCCCCACGAGGCTTGTTTCTGCCCCATGGTCCTACTCTGTGGCTGATGTTGTGTCAGTGTTGGGTCTGCCCTCCCAGGTCACACATCCGTTTGTCTGGCCAGCAGTTTCATGCCAAACAGCCTCCCCCCATCTCTGCACCCATCAGCAGCTGTCTGTCGGTGAGCCCGGAGGGGCTGTGTGATGACGCGGCTGGGTCTTTGGTGCTGTAATTATCCCCAGCCTGGTGATAATGGACTATTTGGATGTCTGAATCCTCTGAATAAATTGCTGCGATATTATGCAGCTGAGCAGGAAGCTGGGAGTGAGGAAACAAGGCTCAGAAGAAGGAGCGGAAGACACTTTGGGAGAAGTGCTTGGCGGAGAGTCCCACCCGTGCCTGCTGAGCACCAGCTCTTCACCTCCCTGCCTGCCCTCGGCTCCCTGCTCCATCCAGTATCCACCGTGGCAGCATCCATGCGCTCTTATTTATTGTAAATATGCGTCCCCCCCCCTGCACCCCCCTACTCCGCCCCCAGCGCACTCCTCAGCCAGAACTCCCGCAGACTGTTCCGCTCTCAGTGTCCCTGGCTTTTGTTCTAGTGAAGATGAGCGTGACAAGAAAAGTGATAGAGAAGGAATATTTTGTGAACAGACAGGTTAAGCTCTACATAGTACACAGCAACAGTTACATTTATGACGAATAATAATAATAATAATAATAATACCTCCCTCAATGACTGACCTGACCTTCTTTCTATATTCTGTGGTCTTGCTACTGCGATTGCACTGCTCTGGGGGTTTTTTAACAATGCTGCTCTGTTTTTAAACTATGTAACTTTCTCTCATTTATTGATAGCTCGTATATGCAAATTTTTAGGTAGTGAATTATTTCGATCTTTTTATTTATTATGGAATTGCTGTCACTTTATTGTGCGCAAGTCTCAAGTTTCATTCCCTTCAAGTGTCAACATGTTTAGAATGACAATGGATGAACCTTGAATAATAAAAATAATAATTGTTATTATCGTTATTGTTATTATTATACTTTTAGTATATACTTTTACATTATACTTCTAGTAAGGTCCTGAGTGATTTATAACCCAGTCGTCTTCTCCTTTCCATGGAGGGCTGATAATTAACCCATTACCTCTATCATTTGGAGCTCTCTAGGTTGCAGGTGTCATTCATGGTGGGGGGTTGGGGGGGGGGGCAGAAGCTAATCCTGGCAGAAGCTAGAAGCCAGGTGCTGGATGGAATCACAGGAGAGGTGTGCTTTGTCTTCGGTTATTCATTTGTTCCAAATTAAATACACGTGATATTTATAAGCAAATGTTTTTCATTGAAAATTTTTCCTTTCATTTTTGTAGAAATTCATGTTAAACTCATAAATGCCTGCACACATAATGCAAATAGCACCAGTGCAACAGCCAGCTACTGATGGGACGGAATCCATACTCATCTCACTAGAAGTGCTAGCAGGAATTATTACACATTTGATACTAAAAAATATATTTCTAAATTTACTAAACACCTGCAAGTGTTTGATAAATCTGCTCTGTAGCGTTTTATTGTCTTCGTAGGAGAAGGTAATTTCACAGCTCATTAGAAGCAATGCGCAACAGGGACTGTAGCAAATGAAGTGGATCTATGTCTGTCTTGGGGAGCAGTTCTCAGACACTCATTGTAGATCTAGATTCCACTAGCAAGAAGGAAACTTAAGCTAGTTGAGAGTAATGTGCACTTCAGACTTAGTATACTTAGTACACTGGTTGCGTGTCTTGGGTAGAGTAAATTTAGCTGTGGTCATGGTAAATAAATGAATGTCCTAATTGGCTGTGCTGATCACATGGCTGGTTTTGATGGGAGATTGCTCCATCACTTCAACATCTTCCTGAGAGCTGCATCATAGCCTGTCTCTGAGACTTGAGAAGCACAGTACACCCCATGCATTTTAATGAACTCACCTTGATCTTCAACACAGTCTAATCTCTGGTCGTCTTATTCCGAAATCTACACCTTCAAACCACCCTCAGACGCAAGGTCAGGCACAAGTTGCGGTCCTTTCGGCAGAGATCTGAGGTACTCGTCTGTTCTATCTCATATCGTCTTCTCTCATCATTTTTTGCATTAGAATTCAGAAATGGTGACAGCCGTGTGATGGGGTCATCAGGTTTAATCAAGACGAGTTCACAGGCATCGCTAAACCATCACCATCCAAGCCGTGCTCTCTGGCTCTGCCTTCATTCCCTGAGATTTCTCTGCTGTTGTGTAAATAACTGACCTTAGCGTCCCCATTCTAAATGCCAATTTCCTCTGAGGTAATTCATTCCTTCTATAGCATATTCATGAGTTTAATTCCACTCAAAATGAAGTTTTAGCTTTATTCTGTGTTTTATTAATGTACAGACCAAACATCCCTACTTATTTCTGTCCATGTTCTGTAGAAATTATTGGTAACACTTTACTTGAGGGGGCACAAATAATGCAGTAGTACACCCTTACTTAATGTACTAATTAACCAGCAACTAAGTGTTAGTTATGTACCAATCCCATGTTCGTCCATCATTAATCAATCATGACTGTATTTCATGCAGTTAATATATTTGTTTGTGATTTGTACTTGAATAGTACCTGAGTTAATTGTGCCCATTTAAGGAAAGTGTTAGCAAATTATTTTTTATATATTAAAGGACTGTCTGGTCTCTATACCATATACTCTTCTATTTATTCTATCTGATGTCATAAAGCACATTATATCTTGACAGTGACATTACTATATTAAATTTGCTTGTCCTGCAAAAAGGTATACTGACCCTTGTTTAATTTTACTATCAAGCTATGGTTATGATAATTGTCTAAAAAGCTCAACACATTAATTGCATTGCCTTTCATCATTTCCCACCATCTAGAATAACTTCTCGACAGTTACACGTGCAAGACATGAGATATATTTCATGGTACTCAGATGAAGAATAGAAAAGGTAATTGTTTTGGGGAAAACTTGCAATCTTTTGATATTGGCTAAATCTTAATGGAAACATCATATTGTTAATAATGCATGTTTCCATAGAAATGAAGGATTAGCTGCATTCCAAATAGTGCATCCGATTTCCCTCAGAGGTCACCCTACAATCAAGAGGTCAAATGTTACACTGGGTCTTGGATTTCTGCCAGCTATCAGCCTCCTTCTAGGGACACTAACTGGCCAGTTTGAGGACTATGGGTCAGCAGCTGCCCCGAAAGCCTGCAGCACGCCCTGCCAGATAGAGCTTCGCCGCAGCTCTGTGGTGGAACGCCTTTGAATCATCCTTCCCACCCAGCACAGAAATGATCACTGATTCATACATGCCTCAGTGCTGGCTTTGGAATTGGAATAGGGGGCCTTTTATTAATGAATAACTTCTTTTGTGAAAAACTATTAGCACAGTGTGAACATACATTTAGAGCCTGAGATGACAAAGGTTATCATCATGAATCTTTTAAACCTGAAATATGCACCACTCTTGTTTATGTTAATTTACTTTGAAAAGAGACAATTTTACCCAGGACCGCTAAGATGGATAATCTCCATCAAGCCCGTCTCTCCCTCTCTGATACCTACACCATTTCTCCCGCCCACGCACTTCTCTCTGTTTTTCTCTCACCTACATTAACCCAGTTCTCTCCCTTCTGCTACACTCAAAGTGCCTCTCCTTTTGTTTTTTGACTATGAAATAACCAAGTCATTTGCAGATTGGATCCTGTGACTGGGGTCACATGGTGTGTGTGCTACTGTCACAGAGGAAGTGGCAGTCGAGGGACTTTAACAGACTGTCTCGGCAGTTTGCCAGTCAGATGGGACAATCCGAACCCCATAGCTTCAGCATTCACTGTTTTTTTTTTAGCATCGGTAAACAGTTGTCTCTGTGGACGGTTCCTGTGCGCAATTACGACGTCATCCTCGGGGTAAAAGTGCGTATTCTAGCAGGATCTTCCTACTGGGTCAGGCTTTTCTCAGTCCTGAAAATGACACCAGCTCCTCTGTGTACAAGTTATAAACTGGTTCAAGGGCCACAAACTAGACTGACTGGCTGTGATTTCATTTCAAATGTCACCTAGTATCTTCACTTAAATTAATAAATGTCTCCCATTGCCTTCCTCTTGCGCTATCGATCCGAGAGTCAGATGGACACATGCAGCTTTAAGAAAGACAGCTTAGCAGATGACCATCAATAATGAAAGATGTGGCACTAGATGTTCTTCCTGCAAGTAGATAGCATGTCTGCATCGTGTCAGATAGAAAGCCTTTATTATCATTGTCCAGGTACCAAGTACAACAACATAATAATCTTCACAATTTCCATCCAGCTCTCCTATGAGATACATGCAGGCAAGAGCAAACCTTGGGGTCAGAGGAGAATGTTGGCCATTTATCCAGCAACCGTGGAGGTTAAGGACCTCGCTCAAGGGCCCAGCTGTGATATCAGTACTCCACTGGCCATGGGATTTGAACTGGTGAGCTTCCAGTTACAGACTCCTAACCCATGGAGCCACACAGTGAGGCACTGAATGGGAGTCTAACCAGAGCTGCTGAAAGAAACACAACAGCAGGATTAAAGTTCTCATCGACGTGAAGGAGCTCAGAGAGTGTAGAGAGGTGTGAGTATAAATTCACACTTGCTGTTGTTGTCTTTAAGGAACATAATTCTTATTGTGTGCTTATTAAGGATCTGACACCGTACAGGTGTTGATTTTTCATACAAGAATGCACACACCTCATGCCATCATCATGAAAGATCCTCAAGGACAAGTAGTTCTTAAATATAATTGCTTTTCAATTGTACCTTATCTTATATAGCCAAAGAATAAAAATGTGTTCCAGTTTATAACACGCTGTCCTTGTAAATGGCAACTTCATTTGTATCTGTATATGTTGAGGGATTAAGTTTAATTAATATAATGTAGCATGAATGGATTTAATTTGTGCCCAAGTGAGAAAGACTTCAAGTAGAGTTATGGATGTAGATGGAAAGTACCCAGAGACATTCAGATAAAATGGCATCAGATTGTTTGATCTCCTTCATATTCAATTCAATTTTATATAGCGCCTTTCACAACAGAGTCAGCCCATGGTGCGTTACATGGATGTGTTGTGATACATTACAACATCACTAAGACAGAATAACACAAAAAGGGGGAAGGAAAGACAGGGAAATGAAAGGACAGAAAGCCAGATGACAACGGAGGAGAGGAACCAAAAACTCTCAAGTAGGGAGATAAAAAAACCTCTGGGGGTCAACTGGCTTCCAACCCCCCCCAGGCATGCTAACATTATAGGAAAAGAAGGAGTGGGCTTGCTAAAGGCAAGGTGTGAACTGTAGTCAAGGTCAAAGCCAAAGTCCATCAATGAGCCAAAGTGCATGATCAATGCAGGTCCCAGCGTCATGTCCTCAATTTGAGGATTATTGATGAGCACATCTCCATCAAACACCACAACCTGAGGAGTAATATGCCTCTGCCTGGGAACTACTCGCTGTCACACACGTAGTATCAACCTGAGGCTAATCAGAGCACAGCAGCGTGCGGATGTGACGCCTTGTTTACCGGTGTGTCTATTCCTGTCAGTCAGCGTGTATCAGTACACATCCTCGGTGTGGCTTCAGCCCCCCCCCCCCCCCATAGGATCCTGTGCAGATGACAGTCTCTCAGTTGGGTGTTTCAGGGTGGGTATCAGGTCCATGCTAATGGGAGAATCCATGATAGATATGGGGAGTGCTTTTGAGTGGGGGGGGGGGGGGGGGGGAGA